CTCCTTCTTCTTGAGTCCCAGTCACCAACGGGGAGGACAGAGAACATTACCTGCGTTCCCAATCCCTTCAACATCTTTCTAAGGGACATAAAATCCCTTTGATATTTCAGTGTATCTTTGTTGCAGTAACGTTTGATCCCACATGAAAGATTAGGAAGGGATGGTAGTCTTTGGGACCTGCCAGACTTGCTAAGCTCTTCATAATATCATGAATACGGGCTCCAGGCTGGCAGCAAAACTCTGAGGAGAGAGTATCTGGATGGACTCAGTGCCTCTCAGAGAGGAGTCTCCATACTGTCTTAAAGCCTAATGTTAGAAGTAGAATAGTTGCCAAAGGATGAAGACCTAAGATAAAAAGACCTCAAAAGAGGGCAAAGTAATGACTTTTCCTAAAAAACTGGGACTGGGCATCCAGACATCCTAGTGGAGGCAGTGGAAGCACCTGAATTATCTCTCAAACCCATCTTTTTTTTGAAATCTTAGTGAGTAAAGGCAATGAAGGAATGGATATCTGAATAATCATTATTATCATTAAATTATATAATTTATTGCTATTATTATTACACCACAGAGGTACATATCTGCACACACAGATTTCTAGATATTCACCTTTCACATAGACATGACGGGGCCTCATCTGAACTCTAAGATGACCAAAACTAATTTAACAGTGCTACTGTGGTACCGACCAGATTTAAATTTGTTCTGTTGTGAAGAAACACAGCAGAACTACCAAAGACACAACTTGATCAGAGTAAATATTACAACTGAGAACATCCTAGCAGCAGAATTAAGGGCAGATTCAAGACCCACTTAGAAAGAGAAAGGACAACCATTTCCTTATATAATAATGCAGATTTTCTCTATTAGTAGCTTTTATGTTCATTTGCTTTTACTTTTTGCTGTTTCTCTTGCTTAAGACAAAGTATAGCTGAAAATAAAAGGAACTATTATGGGTATTTTTTGCTAAAATTTCAAGAAAAGTTCTTCATTATTCCAGAATGTTACCTACCATCTGTGATCAGTTTTATTTGATGTAATGGTGGATGAATTATCTCTATGTAGCTACATATTCTTCAGTATTTAGAGCACTTAAGAGACATCTCAAATTTCATATAAGCTATATTTTGAGTACTAATGAGAAGTATGAATCAGTCATAATCATAAGGGTTTTCCAGAGTAGGCTAAATTGGTTTTATAGTAGTATTTGATAAGCTAAACTTGCAGAAGTGTTTTCCTTGGGTTCTTTCTCCACAGAATAAAAATATTGAGGTAAAAAATATTTGATAAGTGCATCAAACTGTAATGACACAGTTGACTATGAGCAGTAAAGCTTTACAAATATTACAAAAATAATAAAAACAAAAAGAATTGCAAGAGCAATATAAACACCATCAAAGACATTCAATATGCTACAAGATTAACCAGAAAGCTATCCTTGTAAATTTCACAGAACCAGATTATTTATATCCTACAATACTTAAATATGGCTGCAATTTCCTTGGAAGTTGGTGGAGGGATTTGAAGCTACTGCTGTTTCACAGCAGAAGACAAACATTGAAAAAGATGTTAGCAACTAGAAAGAGTGGAAAATCATAGCACTGTTAACACTCTTACACTAGTATCTTTATTAACATAGGTCTTGGATTTTATTCAGCTATGCTTTGCATCTGAAGTACTTCTGTTATTTTAAAGTATAGGCATGTCTATTTGAGGAGCAAAATTCTAACATCTGCAGTATTCTGTCTTACAGTATAAATGGATTTAAGAAAAGTTTATACTATTATAGCAGCTTTGATCTACCTGTGAAAAAAATATTTTTTAATCAATACTATAAAAAAATGTCATGGTCACTATGTTTTTATAAATACTGCAACATTAAAATTGCTAAAACATAATCTGTTTCATGCTACTTGTTTAAACTCTTGTCAGTGAGGATCCTGCTGATTCAACAAACATAGAGCATGATACAGCCAACCAATAACTAAAATGCCTTTAATTAGACATCTGGGACAAGGTTTAGGCTTTGATCTTCTTAAGATCTCCACTTTCTACAGCAGCAGCTGAAATGTAGCTGAGGCTACATCTGCATTAGCAATCCATGCAGATCAGAAGGAGTGGATCTGCAGAATAGACTTGGTGCCATCATATACATACTGCAGTTTTTCTTTGTTTTAATTCCAGGCTAGACTCATGAATAGAATGTATTTGCAACTGCAGTGTCTCTAGGTGTATCTCTGGAGTTACTATTTTTGCCTTCAAGATGTTTCTCACCATAGTTCACATACTCTGGTGTAAATTAAAATCGTATTAGGTAAATACATTCTCTTCAAAAGTGATGTCCTGACAACATCACAGTGCTAATAAGATGGCAGCCCAAGTTCACGTGTCTCAAAAAGCAGATCTTGGAACACAGAGCTGAACTGCACCCTGTGTTCAGTTCACTTTCCTACAAATAAACAATGAGGGACAACTCCAGAGGTTTTTAGAGGTCTGTTTGGTCTTCCACTGCTGTTGCAAAATTTCCCAGGCCTTCTTTAGCCCTTTTCATTGTCTCTCAGAACCCATGTGGTTCTTTCAGGTACTCTTAGACATCTCACTGAGATACATAATAATTTAATAACAATTACTGAATAAAACCATGGGTACTTTTAAGTAGGGAAGTAAGACAGAGAGCAATTGTGTCCAGCTCACTCCTTTAATAACTTCCTGCTTTCTAGTATTTTAGTGGCCTGGCTGTGTGGAAATGAAGTGTTCCTTTATGACACTGCTACCAGTTACTACAATAATCTGCAGTTCTTTACTAACATGGAAGAAAGGACTGCAAAGACCCCTGACAAAATACCACTGAGTAACAAAGAAAATAAAGATGTTTACTGATTTTTCTTAATCAGCAAAAGACTCAATATTCTCAATATAGTTTATTTTCTTATTCGACAGCATGTATTGGGATAGTAATGAAGGTCTGGCACAAGGTTCAGACTGTACTTGAATTGATTGGGACTTATCTCAATGGATGATAGAATCAAAAAGTTTTAGATTAAAAGAGAAAAACTATATATCTTATTGAAGGAAAAATAAGACTAAATGTAAACTAAACTAAACTAAACTAAAATGCCTCCATCAAATCCCAATAGGTACCCTTTGCAACTAAGCCCTCTGTACAGATTTAATAACACAACCACCCTGACTTCAGCACTAAACAAATCCCATAAAATATATGATTTTGTTGCTGTTGCTATTTTAATCATTGCTCAGATATGGTTTTCAATTTAATATATTAATGAATATAACCTACATACAAAAAAAAAAACATACACTTGTTTTTTTGTAATCAAGAACGGAACGTATACTCTATCTCAGGATTTACAAACCAGTTAAACAAAGGAAGAAAAAAATAAATAAATAAGGATTCTATGTTGCAAAGGACAGAATAAATCTCAATCAGGACAAAGTAATGAGTGGAATTGCAATTTTCTTGTACTCATCTCTAGCAAGTGAGAGAAAGATGCCTACTGAGAATATAAATAAGGCAAATCAAATACCTCAAGATGTATCTGAAGAAGTTTTTGTCTTATCAGATAATGAACTTGAGGCTTGTGATGAGAATGTTAATGAATTCATTTGTAATCTGGATAGCAATAATAAAGATAAAATGACTCTGTTGGAAAGATTTATCTTATCCTTTGTTAAAGGTTAGTCAGAATTTAAAGTGATGGGGAAAAAAAAAAGAAAAAAAAGAAAACCAATGTAATGAAAAGTCAGATATGACTTAATAACAGAAACACATGACTTGCTTTCAAAGCAAATTTTGATAATACCAAGATGCTAAGAAATTAATATAAGAAGGTAACTATTTGAACTCAAACTTACTTCTCCAACTCAAATATAATGTAATGCATTAGAATGTGATACCAGTCTCTTTTGCAAGTATAATCATATGCACAAGCATACATACAACCTCAGGTTTTATGTACAAGACAACTATATGTATCTATTGTTTCTGTCCAATCTTTAGACAGTCACCTTTGATTTTGAACTAACTTATCACACCCATTCTTTCCCCATTTCCTACACCTAAGAAAGAGCATTTCCTAACTGTTTATATGTAAATTATTAATTTTATCAAGTCTCAGATCACTTTACTTTTGACTATGGTGACCTCTTCAATTGCTTCATGATAGTGATTAAGAATACTACAATATAATCACTTTCCTAGGCTAAAATAACCTATTTACTCTCTGGCAGTCTTTCTAATGACTCATCCATCTTCTCCACTACATAAGCAGCCTTGTTTAATGGATGACATCCTACCCAACTGCTCCTTCACTTCCCTTCCACAGAAGGGAAGGGGGAGAAAATGGGATGAAAAATCTTTTGGGTTGACATAAACACAGGGAGATTGCTTACTAGTAATTGTCACAGGCAAAAGGAAAAAAGGTTGTAAATGGGGAAAAATAATTTAATTTATTGACAAATACAATAGGTTTGGATGATAAGAAACAAAGACAAATATTAAAACATTACCTTTCCCAAGGTGCTACCAACTTGCCTGATGAGCTTATCTTCGTCCTGAGCTCTGTCTGCTGTACAGACAGTTGTGATTGACCCATGGCAAACTCTAACCTTCCCAGAAATCACTCCTGCAGCTCTCTCACTATGAAAACCTTGCCTCTTACACCCATTACAAGTGCACATCTTGCCTTTCAAAAATCTTTTCAGTCTGTTGCAGTTATTTTAGCCTGCTGGGCAGCTACACTCCACCACCTCTTTCTCACTCCCTCTCCTCAAAAGAAGATGAGGAGAAGAAACTGTGATGGGAAGAAAAAGGCTTGTAGGTTGAGATAATTTAATTAAAGGGAAAAGGGGGGGCGGGGGGGGGGGGGGGGGGGGGCGGGGAAGTGGACTTAAAAAAAAAAAAAATTCCCTGCAGGAACAAAGAGGAAAAATATATTCATTACTTCCCATTAACAAGAGACAAGAGATGTTCAGCCACTTACTGGGAAGCAGAGCCTCAAGACATGTAGCAGTTGTTTGGGAGAACAGATATCTTTAAAATGAGAGGCCTCCTTCCCCCTCTCCTTCCCCCTGCCAAGCTGATTGTGACATCATATGGTATGATGTCCTTTTGTTCAGTTTAGGTCAGCTGCCTTGGTGACTTCCCCTCCTCACTTCTTGCCCACCCTCAGACTACTGGTTTTAGAGGGGTTGGAGGAAGTCTTGATGCTGTGCCAGCACTGCTTAGCAACACACAAACACTGATGTTATATCAGGACTGTTCTAGCTACAAGTGAGCACAGTACTATATGGGCTGCTGCAGGGAAAGTTAACTCCTTCCCAGCCAGACCCAGTACATCTGTTATCTCCCTGTTTAGACTCTCTCATTCAAAGCTAAAAGACTAACTGTTACTAGCATTAGGTTTGTGTAATCAACCTCTTTTTCTAATGGGATTTTTTTTTTTTTTCAAGCAGTTTTTCCTCTGTGGAATTAAATTTCACTTTGAAGTTTCCCAAAGTGATACTGTAATACTACTTTATGATGCATGTAAAACTTCCTTTAGCATTGACATCCTCCAGAAAGTCACCAGAGTCCAACTTCTGGTACCTTGAAACCAACATTATCTTGTGGTTTCCACTCCCAACATCATCTCATATTTCTTCACCTTCCCAGCCTTGTTAAGAAACCCTCTGAGTCTTCATCCTGTACTTGGACCTTGGATAGCATTCAGCTCTTTATAGTTACTTGTCTGTGATTGGGTTGCATTAAGCATTAGGTTAATGCTACTGTCACCTAACTATAACCTTACTGTAACCTAACTTGTAAGCAACCTTTCAGACACTGGGCTTATTTACATGCTTAAAATTAATCATATGTGAAGTGAATAGGGGGTTGAGTCCTCATATAGTGTGTATTAAACCTATATAAACTGTTGTGGTGTTTCTTTTTTAAGTAAGCAGGGAGTCAACGTCCCAGTCCACAATCCTTTTAATAACATTTTCTGAGTAATATGTTTAAAAAGTAAAATTACAGATCTTTCCTTGATTTTCTTTAATACACGGTTTGGCCCTCATTGTACTGAAAGACCTTGAAAATATTTTTGAAGAGTAACCAAATAACAAAGTCTTATGAGGTGAATTTTTCCTTGTGTTAATTGCAACCTAAATTTTATGCAGCAAAATGGCAGCTGCCTGGCAGCAAGAAGTACTATCTCATCTCTTTCAGTGTAAGACAATGAAAAAAAAAAAAAAAAAAAAAAAAGTAATCATAATAGATTAAATTTAGAAAAAAAAAAAAAAGAAAAAAAGAAAAACATAAACAATAAACTCCTGTAATTAGTGCACTGGGATGTAAATAAATGACTTTAAGCATATTTCATTTAACCTCTGTATTATTCAACATAATAATGAGTTACATTTATAAAGAGACATGTCCTGTTAAATGACAATAAACTGTCCAATTTATAATAAATTAAAAAATTCAGATGTGCTATCCTGCTTGATATTGATTACCTGAAAATAAATAAATAAATAAATAAATAAAATCCTGATATTGGGTGATATTGGATTACGTGTTGGTAGGTGTCTGAATTGTTTTACATTGTCAAAGTAATTTTGATTTAAAGTACATGAAGGCATATATTTACCCATTTCTATTTATATGGCAATAAACTTTAGCTTAACTGTATTAACAAAGTGTTTAGAATCAGGCAAGATAAAATGGGTCTTTTCAAAAACAGTTTTTTAAGCAAGGGCAGGGGGTTGTTCCTGGACTAGGTCATGAGTGTACCCAGCAAAATGCACTACAGTGAAACAAGACATGGAAGAGGAAGAGGAAGAAGAAGAGGAGGAGGAAGAGGAAGAGGAAAAAAAGAAAAAAGAAAAAAAAAATAAGAGAGAGAGAAAGAAAGGAGAAGGAGAAGGAGAAGGAGAAGGAGAAGGAGAAGGAGAAGGAGAAGGAGAAGGAGAAGGAGAAGGAGAAGGAGAAGGAGAAGGAGAAGGAGAAGGAGAAGGAGAAGGAGAAGGAGAAGGAGAAGGAGAAGGAGAAGGAGAAGAAGGAGAAGGAGAAGGAGAAGGAGAAGAGAGGAAGTTATCAAAAGGAAAACTCTCCAAGTCATCTGCTAATAAAAGAAGCAATGAGAGTCTCCCCATGTCATCATCCCCATTTGTACATATTCAGGGGAGCACCTTCTGCACTGGAGAATATTTTTCCCCAGCGACAGTACAGTTCTGTACAGACTGATTCTTCTCCCTATTGGTGGCTCTTATTTAGTACTGCAACAGTGCTTATGAGAGCACACTTTTATCAGGCACAGATGTTGTACACAGTAATTGGCTGTTAAGCTGTCTGCACGTGCTTTATCAGTAAATGCTTATGACTACATAAATTACTGTTATCTACTAGGGTTATCTTTATTTGTTCCCTAACATAAAATTAGAAAATAAAAACTATGAAACACGGGCTGGAAAGGGACAATTCTTATGACAATGTCAATGACTTCCTACAAAGTCCATTTTTACAGATGCGGTAACATTTCCTGAATCTGTAAGTGTGAGGCTACAAGGATAAAATCACTTTGGGATAAAGACAAAGGTAGTGCCATAGCAGTCTGGGGTTGTGCAAGTGGCAGGATACATACAGAGAGAAAGGCATATGGTGGTATTACGAGCGAGAGACTGCAAACTTACAAATGTAAGACTGTTATCTCTGTATGGGTTAAAGTGTTGTGCAACACTAACACTAGTGTGTGCTGGATATAGGATTCTGTCATTCCCTTCCTCTTTCCCATAAAGCTTGCTGCTGTAGCCCTGCACATAAAAAGACAGAGTCCATCAGCCATCCCATTTGCCAGGTCACTTAAAAAGTATTTCTTTCACCATCTTTTCTTTCCTGAATAGGTACACCTTTTGAAACAGGTACACTTTTTTTTTTTTTCTGGGGGGGGGGGGGGGGCAACAAACAGCAAACTACAGTCATAGCTGTGACTGGAGCTTAGACAATAACTCCAATGTGCCACTTCATTTACAGCAGAAACAGATACCTTCACAGCTCAGGGATTAACTCAGAAGACAACAGGGCTACATGATGCTGACTGTTTGGACAGGAATTTATTTTCATCTTTATAATATGGCTGATGCCTTCCTTGCTACACCACTGAATTAGATTCTCTAAGTGGATCCCTTTGGAGCATAAAAAATCATTCAAGTACTACTCTGAAATTAATGATCTCAGGGTTAACTCAAAAATAGATGTAACCACCTACTGGAAATCACTTTTCTCATTCCTGCATGTAGTTATTAGGCAGACATTTGGAATTTTCTCCATTTGTCTTGCAATCAAGTTTGTGTATTTATGATTAGTCCTAAGATGCATTTTAAGTTGTTTCCTCCTACAGTTACAAGCAGTTAGACTACAGGTACAAGCATTTTGTATTGTTGGTTGGGAAATACTTCTTTTAGCTGAATCCAGTTTCAAATGTTTTTAGGAACTAAACATAAAACACTTAGCTAAAGTTTGTATACATTAAAATATCTAACAAAAACTTATTGAGCAATTCTTAAACATACTGAAGTTCTCCTAATTATTATTGGGAGATCTATTATAATTACATATTAATAATTGATATTTATTAATATTAATAAATATTAATATATTATTTTAAATTATTGGCACATTTAAATAGCTGTTTTAAATTCATTTTTCTATGTTTTGATTTTGAAATAAAAATATGAAAAACTTTGTTCTTTTCCACATTTCCTTTAATGCTGCTTCAGGCCTTTAAAGACGGTAAAACATTTTAAGGAGGATATTTATAGATACTTATGTAACTACATTAAAGGGTGATCTATCATAGAATGATAGAATTATCAATGTTGGAAAAGACCTTTAAGGTTATCAAGTCTAACCATAAACCTAACTTACCAAGTCGAATCACTAAACTATGTCCCCTTGTATCATGCTTGATATCTCTTAAATACTTCCAGGGATGGGGATTCCACCACTTCCCTGGGCTGCCTTTCACAATCCTTGACCACACTCTCTGTGAAGAAATTCTTTCTAATATCCTCCCCTGTTGCAATTTGAAACCACTTCCTTTTGTGCAATCACTTGTCTCCTGAGAAAAAGAGAGCAAGAGTCTTTCACCAGCTTTGTTGCTGTTCTCTGCACTTTCTTGAGCAATTCAATACCTTTGTACTGAGGGGCCAAAAACTCCAAAATAAAAAAACTGGTGTGGTCTCGCCAGTACTGCATATAAGGGATGATCACTTTTCCAGTCCTCCTGCCCACACTATTTCTGATGTACGCTACGTTGCCTTTGGCCTTCTTCTGTTGAGCAGAACCCTCAGGTTCTTTTCTAGTGGGCAACTTTCCAGCCACCCTTCCCTATGCCTATACCACTGCAACAGGTTATTATGACCCAAGTGCAGAACCCAGCCCTTAGTTTTGTTGAATGTCATGTGATTGGACATGGCCCGTTGATCTAGCTTAGTGAGATTCCTCTGCAAAATCTTTCTACCCTCAAGCAGATCATCAGTCCTGCCTAACTTGGTATTGACTGCAAACGTACTGAGGGTGCACTCAATCTCCTCATTCAGATCACTGATAAAACTATTAAACAAAACTGACTGCAGTACTGAGCCCTAGGCATCACCACTGGTGGCTGGCTGCCAACTGGGCTGAGTTCCATTCGTTGTGACTCTTTGAGCCTGCCCATTTAACCAGTTCTGACCAAGAACTTGTACACCTGACCAAACCATGAGCAGCCAGTTTCTCCAGAAGAATACTGTGGGAAGTGGTGTCAAATGCTGGTTTGACACCTGCATCCAGGTAAATCCAGGTAAACAATATTCAAAACCTTACCCTCACATACTAAGTGGGTCATCTTGTCATAAAAGGAGATCAGATTAGTCAGGCAGGACCTGCCTTTCATAAACCCATGCTGACTCCTTCTGACCACCTGACTGTCCTGCTGTCCTGTATGTGTCTTGTGATGACAATCTGCTTCATAACATTCCATGGTACAGGCCTGTAATTCCTTGCATCCTCTTTCCTGCCTTTTTTTTTTTTTTTTTTTTTTTTTTTTTTTTTTTATAGATTGGAATCCCATTTACTAAACTCAACTGGGACTTAACCATTTAGCCAGAATGGATGGTAAGTTAT